TTGATGAGAACGAATAACGAAGTAGTTTGTAAGATATTCAATGAACGCGCCTAAATATTGTCATCTGCAGCCATTCATGCAACCTTAGCAGGTGGATTGCATGTTAATGACAAGTTAATCGCCCATCGTTGGTGTTGTGATGCAGGTAATAAAAACGGAATGTGTTCATCTACTGTGCAACACATATTGATATTCTGTACTTCCTATCTATTTCTGAGATCTACGTATAGAATGGGCGTTATGGCCGAAACCAGCACGCCTTCCGCAACTCTGAGGGGTGCAGATTTCGCTAGGTTACTCTGTCTATTATGATTCGACCACTACCGCGCAATATGAGCAGCTCATGCAATTAACAATTCCATGATGTGCGCCTGGCGAAGCCAGGCCAGCTCGGCGAAGCCGAGCTAAAAAGAAGGAGGAGAGCTCGGCGTCAGCCGTGGCGATCCGACTGGTTTTGAGTATATATCACTTCTGCCAGCAAATCCATAGTTTTTTTAGGAGGAATGGAAAGCATGTGCCCTGATGAATGCAAGAAAGCGGGCTGTCCTACGGAATGCTATGGTGATGTAGGAGACAACAACTGCAAGACAGTTACCTGTGACAGTTTTGGTGTCCTTACTCCGGTGTAACTAAGCATGACGTTCGTCTCCATTGCTTGTTCTCCTATAGAGAATAAATTTTTTGTCAGTAAAAAGCTATGCTCGTTTAGCGAGAAAATCCTTTCATTCTATAAACCAGTAACTTGTGGGTCAGTTTGTATGTTTGTATATATGTATGTATGTATGTATTTTCCGCTCGCGAAATGCTTCACGGGTTCGAGGCTGTAGCGGGACGACAAAAACACCATTAGAAAAACCTTTATCCGATAGATGATTATGTATCAATCCAATTTTGATTGTGATAACTGCCTTCGCTATATAAGACAACCACTTGGTACACTCCGTGCCGTTGCACGAATTTTTCGCGTGGCAGCTAGACGTGTGCTCGTGCGGGGCAGGGTGGGGTGGGGCCGAGGGTGCACAGAGTGCCCCTCCCCTCTCTGCTTCCCTGCCCTGCACATGCTCAGCCGGATCTGAGCATGTGAAGGAAGCAGAGGGGAGGGGGTAGGGAGGCGGTCGTTTGGCGCGATCCCATTGCCGTTTACGTGCTCTAACAGGTAACGGTACGCGCCCACCAAGATGGATAACTAGTTTGAATCACTGCCCATAAAGTTTTCGCAGTTGGTGGGCTACATAAGGCTGTGAGGGTTGGCTCAGGTACTCATGTTTCTCATCCAGGTTGCTAACCATCACTTATTATTAGGGAAATGCACTAGTCCGAAAATTTGGACGATTGGACAAACTGCCCTACCTGAAAGACAGTTTGCTTGACGTCTTTTGACACGTCTGTGGCAGAATGATCGCGTCAAAAGACATAGGGACACCCGAGGGGGTACACTGAAGGGGGGGGGGGGAGAGAGGGCGTAGCGCACGCTTGAGTAGGATAATAGCAGGAGAGGAGGATACAACCGCTAGCAAAACTGCAAGCTAATCCATAATAAAGTAACAAACTAAGATATTGTTTTGATTGTGATAAAACTCTCACACTACACAAGACAACAACCACTATACAAGACAACCACCCCAACCATTGTTCAAGCTGCTCGCGTGGTAGCCGAACGTGAGCTCTCGCGTGGGTTGCTCCATCTATTACGATTCGATCAAAACAGCGCAGTATGAGCAGCTAAGTGAATGAACAAATTCCGTTTCCATTATGAAGTGCGCCTGGCGAAGCCAAGCCAGCTAAAGATAAGGAGGAGAGCTCGGCGTGAGCCGGGCGATCCGACTGGTAATGGCAACATTGTGTGGAATGCCACTTTCGCAGCTTCTCCTCACTATCTGCCAGTACGTTGGTATCTTACTAAGAGTTTGTTCCTTAATTATAGTCAAGGACACTTAAGGTGAAGTGCGTTCGTAAGGCTATTAAAGGTAAGCTGAATTTATGGGCAAAAGTCAGGTCTCAGACAGGCCTCGGAAGCGCATCTCTCATCTCCATTTTGCCATCGGCCCCTTTCTTACCCCCTCAACTGATGGCATTTTGTGCCACTGCCTTGCAGAACTGACACTTTGACGTGATGAGCCGGTTCCCGATTTAAGCAGTGAACCGCGAGGCTGAAGGCTCGAGCGAGTAAGAACGGCCTCGGCAGTAATGAAAAACGCTACCGCCCGGTAAGCGGGAGATGCGGGTTCGTGTCCCGCTTAGGGGTTTGACTTCTGCCCATAACTCACATTCTTGTGATGACTTCCAAAGCGCGCAATGCGCAATATTCCACGAATAACCAGTTCCGTGCCATGTTCAAACGTCACGCCTATCTGGCTCAGGGCTAAGGAGTGAGTACATGCTGGTTCAACACTGGTGTGGCTGAGCAATGGTCAGCCCACCAAACCCCGGTAACTTTGTTCTGAGAATCGTTTAGCAAATTTAGATGGCAGATTCAAAATCATCATCTAACGACGCGTCATTAGGTGTACACCGTATTCGTTATGCCACTTACTAGTGACAAAGGGAATCCACCTATGCACTGCAAGGACTCTATCTTTTATGATCATTATTGCCCATTTCTAATGGCCACCTCGACCCATCAACCTGTCCTAGTTACATATGTAAAAAGCGACAAATACGGCTAAGAATCACAGTTTAGTCTCAGTCTAGTTTCAGCTCTTAACGAGCATGAGGTCAAGAGAAACAAAGAGACAGCGCACGAAATTGCCACACACCTGCATGGACCACAAGAGCAAACTTGGTTGCAACGCAGCATGATGCTCATCTATTTGTGGGCATGGATACTCAGCGTAGGCGAGGTTTCTGACCATCGAAAAAGCTACCGCCCCTACTACGCACTTCTCAGTGACACAGGGAATAGACCTTATGCACTGCAACGGCTCTATCTTGCTAACAGATATTATTACTGAATTCAGTTGGGAGCGGGCTCAGGCGGCGGGGTTTTTGGCGTAATGCCAGGCTTCGTTTAACCATGGATTGCTAGTGGTTCTCGGGCGTTTCGATGATCAGTATGAGAGGGAAAGAAAGCTGGAGAAATACAAGAGAAAGCCGTGCACGCAGACCCACCACCTAACTTCCTTGATAAAGACTGTAAGTGATCCCGAAATGAGCTATAAACATATGGAAGGCTGAAAATTGCTGGTAAGTGAACAGAGCAAAGAAATACTGTTTATTCACCAATGGTTCTTTATACAATTGACTTTCGAACTCAATCACACTTACGGAACAGTAAGCCACACAAATAGACAGTACAAAAACTGGAATTTTGGGAATATTTGGCTCAGAAAGTATAAATGCACTGACATCGGCAAGATCAATTTCACATTGAGTAGTGGCCAGTGGTAATTATTATTATTATTATGAAACTATAATAAAGCTGCAGCAATTAAATACAATGTCGAATCGTTGTTATTTTGGGGTTTTTGTAAGGGGATCGCTTATGATCCTTGCAAGCGATGGGGCGGGGGGGGGGGTGACGGGGCCGTGGATGGGAAGCGCCTGCCAGGCAGACTCTTTGCTACCAGTGATGGCATATTGAGTCCGCCACGGTGGTGGGAAGTCTGTTCTGACTGCGCTCTAAGGTTGGTGGGAAAGTCTGTTCTGACTGCGCTCTAATTTGTGCCACCTTCCCACGCTCTATCGCATGCAGAGACCATGACTAGGCCACATCGCACGCGAGGGTGAGTCGTATCTGGGCGCTGGAAGGGAGGGGGACATTTACCTCTGACAAAAAAAACCCCAACGCCTGTTCGATAGAAGTTTTCAGGGGAAGTGAGAGAAAAGGAAGGATTTCTGGAAAGAAAAACTATTGAAACTAGAAGATTAAGAAGAGTGGTAGGTAAGGTGGGAGAGTCGTGCAAGAGGGGGAAGGGACGAGAGTCTTTTTTGCAAGAATTTTCTTCAGCGACAGGACGTGCCCTAGACTAAATGCTACAAGTTAACAATTTGAAAGCGCAGCCCTCGCTATTCGCATAGAAGGAGTCAGGTTCACCATTTGTCCTCCCCTATTCGTGTGCCCTTCTTTCTCAAGAACGAAAAAAGTAGAGGTTCACTAAGGGTGGAGGCGCACTGGCAGGCCTGACTCCGCCCACCTAATTAGCGAGTACTGCGCCTTTGAGGAAAAACACCTTGCACGAACCTTGGCTGTTCTTTGGCTCTCTTCCTCACGAACCTGACTGGATTACACAGTCCAGAAAAGGACTCTTTGCGGAGCACGGCTTGGTGGGGGCACCGGATGACACACAGCTAAAGGTGTGCAGGCGACCTTGTGAAAACCTAAAAACTCCCGTAACGAAGATCACTCGCTCGGACCTTTTCGCAGCTTCTCAGGAGTCCACAGGTTTTCTCAAATAAAGTTACTAACAAATTAAACAAAGAAGCAAGAGTGTGAAATGCCCCTCCAAGCCGAAAAGAGCTGTTTTTCTTTAAATCAGAGACCCTGGCAGAAACCAGAAATGAGGCAATCCGGAGGGGATCAGAGCCGAAAGATTCGTTCCTAACAACCAAGGCATGTGAAAGGTGAAGTGTCCTAATATTGGAATTCGCAATGAGATTACTGACATGTACAAGACTCAATAATCATATTTTCAAAGTTCCGAATAGTAGACCGGCCAAGCTCGTCTCGATAGAAGATCGTCAACGACCGTGTCTGAGACGGTGAACAGCATACTGATGGCACCGACGCCGACTTCAATAGGGTTTGTAGCAGAGCATGGTTGGATGGATGCATGTCCTGAAAAATGCGTTTAAATTAATCTCTATAATGCCCGAGGTACGCTATAAGCCATGCTCTAGACGGATGCTGAACGTGCCAGTGGAGCCTGGGTTAGTTAGCCGCCACACGCCTCCACCGTGGTTGTCGCTCTACACTTCTTCAACAAGGAGGAGAGCGGGTTGGCGCCGCGCCAATTACAGCACCCTGACCCGCCTCAGTCAACAAGGCCATACAGTCGTCATTCTGAGATGGGATCGGCGTTGCTGCGTCATTTGAAAATGGTTAAAGGCATGTGGCACGATAATTTGGTACTCGGTATGGTCGTACATTTGTGAGCGCGCGGGCGCGGAGTTCCTCCTGCCAGGCCTCTAATCCTACTCGTTTAGGAAATTATCTGCTAACTGCCTTAGAGAAGTTTTTCGAATGTTTCCATTTAAAATCATTTTTGTAGTTCCAGGACAGTTACGCCAAAGCTCTTCCTCTACAGACATGAAACACCTAAGCCCCCCCTCTTATTCGCTGCAGATGCATGAGCGTGTCGTTAGAGGGGCTGAGTTTGCTCGGCACCTAAGGCCGTCTGATACCAATGAGTCGCAACTTCTGGCCTCAAGAATTGATAAGAACGTGCTGGGCAAGCGCAAACCAAGTCCTCTGACCGTCCAGCCGCCAAACCAAGTCTCTGACACGCCCCAGCGTTTAGGAATCACTATACCAACCATGCATAATATGTGTTCTCAATGATAATCACAAACATTACAATACTGCCGATAATTGTCCTATCACTTACCTTCGGAAGCGGGTCCGGACAAATTCCCGAGCAGAATCCGGCCTCAAAATCTGCCGGGGCTATCACCCATCGACCCCAACCGAGTTGCTTCAAATCGACCACGGAGTCGCGTTTCTGACACATCTGGAACTGTTTAGGTTAAATGTGACTACTTTGCACAGATTTTGTTGCCGAACCCATTCTCCGGGCTATTTCCCCATATCGTCAACTTGGAGAATAATTTTTTGTTTTTTCATTGAAGCTCATTTGCTCAAATGCTGTGGCAGTGAAATGTATCCTCGAAATGGAATGTATGTCTTCTTCTTGTAAACTGATCTGCACCAAAAACGACTGCGCTATGTAAAACAGTCAGAACTTAGCCTTTCTTCTTGTGTTGAAGGCAAAGCGCGCGATCATTCGCCATCACGGATAGTGAATTAGGGGTTTGCATATAGACGACAAGGTGCTGAGTAACTCGATAGTGAAGAAAAAAGCAGAAAAAACATGCCAACTGCCCTAGATAGAACCCCATTCCGATATCAGTTTGTACGTGCCCAGCTAACTCCATCCTCAATACTACACCCCCACCCGCTAATTCCTCTACGACCATACAAGTGACGATTTTCATGCTTTTTCGTCCTGCAGCTTCGTTTTTCACTGAAAGGCGGGCCTTGAGGGCGGAGTCTGGAGGCGGAGTCACTGGAAAAAGGAGGCGTCACTGAACTGCTATAGCGTCCCTCCCTTACATTTACATTTTTTTGATGCGAAACCGGTACAAGGTTGTTCGTCACGGAGACGCTATATTTTCAGCTTCTATACCTGATCGTGCCTTTAAGAAGATTGAATCGAATGACTTGTCTCAAGCAGAACGATGGTTCCATTGACAAGAGGGGTACACTGGTCTCAGTGACTCTATGGAATGTGACTTTAATACTAAATAGGAATCAAGCACTCATGAAACCCACCGCTCTCTTCTCCTCGGCTCCTAGCAGAACGACCCGCACATCATTTGATTTTTCAGCGCTTTCCTCTTTGTTCTCCTCATCGAATGGAGGCGTATCATCTCCAAAGCCATGCCATATGTCGTCTTCAGGTGCCTTCCTCCGATTTCCCCGTACCTAAAAACTACCATTATTTGTCTTCTTTGTGACCAAGAAGGTAGATACGGATTTTTCGGAACTTATAGACAGCTGGATGTTATAGTTGATCATACTAGCTAACACCTATACTCTAGTTCCCTGCGGACGGTTGGGCGTGTCAGGCAGTATGTGTCACCCCGTCAAAGCCGTTCTCTGCCTTCTTGTTGAAGCGCGCATGACAAAAAGTGGTAGAAAACGAGTAATACGAACGATATGATACAGTCATATCATTTAAATAAGCGTGGAGAACGGGTTTGAAGACGGATTTGGAACGACAGAAACTCGTCCCGCCTGACAGCAGCGCGCAACCGTAAGCAGACGAAACTACATTATAAGGTCACTTCTTCATCGATGTTATTACGCAGGTATTACAAAACAGATTACGCGCAGAGGTCCATACCGATGCGCCAGTTTTTACCACACGGCCTACCTTTTTTCTTCTCGGCACTGTAGCTCTTTCCTTGGAGTGTGTTTTGTATGTCTTCATGCCACTGGAATAATGTTAGTTGTATGAGCAGCTTCGGAAGTCGACTCCACCGCGTTGTAAGAGAAATAACCTATAACGCAAGTGAGTTTACTAACAGCTCAGCTTGCCTTGTGGTACTTTGTTCAATCATCTGCTTTGAGATTCCAGTCTTTGGTGGTACTAACCCTGCAACAATTACAGAAATCTGGTTGTTAATAGTAGTCACTGATGGTAACTATGGGTAATCCGTTCATTAGGTGCTCTGCCCCATTTCAACGGGGGTAGCCTTGTGGGAGGGTCACTGAGGTGCTATGTCGAAAGTTCGCCCCGTAGTTCAACTGTACGCTCATCTCCGACGACGATCCTTGCCATGTGCGAGTTGAGTAGGACCGCAGCTGCAGTGCTACTTTCTCCTCTCGAAAATGTTCGAGAACGCGGTTGAAGGGTAGTGGTACTCGAGTACCGACTCCGGGCGCAGGCGACGGGGAGGGCATTTTGTACTTTCACCGCTTCACTACTTCCGGTTTACAAGTCTCACTCTGGTGAAACTTGTGAACTCTTGTG